TCCCTTTACTAATTAATTGATTTCTTTCCTGCTGCACATGGACAGAGGGGCAGCCATCTTGCTTTCCTATCAGACATTTTAGGCAGAAATAAACCCCATTATTATCACCATGTTGGCATTTCATTGAGGTGTAGGGTTTATCCCTGTTTTTGTACTATCTGCGACCTCTGAGCCTCATACTATTTATCTTTGGAAATGTCCACTGAACCCGTGTAAAACTTCACAAACAATACTTTGATCTTTGCTGTAAATGGCACACTGTATCCTAGCAACCGGAATGGCTGCAATTTACATGAATTGTGTTCAGAATGTGAAATATGGCAACGTGATTAACCCAGTGATTAACGCTACCATTCCAATGCTTGGGAATGATCCAACCTGCTGGGCTGTGCAGGAAAAGCTCTCCCTCAGTCTGTACATTTCACATACTGTCTGATATTGAAGGGAATCCTTGCCATGAAAATGAAATAATGTCCCCCCTGCAGTATAAGAGCACTTTTCATGCACAGCCCCACAGCATGTAGTTTACACACACATATCTTGATAAACAGACAGGAGAACTGGAACCCTACGTGTGATTGTTAGCCTGCAGGCCAAGCTCTGTACTATGAACACTGATTTGTATCTGTCAGTCACACGGAACGTGGGTAACTTGTAGTGCAAACCTAACGATAATAAACTTAATTAAAAACTCTTTAAATTAACTTGGCAGAGATACTGTCCAGACAAACAGCCCATTTACCCCAGGAGTCTGCCCATTCAACCCAAGAGTCTGCCCATTTAATCCAGGAGTCTGCCCATTTAATCCAGGAGTCTGCTCATTTACCCCAGGAGTCTGTCCATTTACCCCAGGAGTCTGTCCATTTAATCTAGGAGTCTGCCCATTCAACCCAGGCGTCTGTCCATTTAACCCGGTAGTCAGCCCATTTACCCAAGTAGTCTGCCCATTTACTCCAGTAATCTGCCCGTTTACCTCAGGAGTCTGCCCATTTAACCTGGGAGTCTGCCCATTTAATCCATTTAACCCAGGAGTCTGTCCATTTAACCCAGGAGTCTGCCCATTTAATCCATTTAACTCAGGTGTCTGCCCATTTACCCCAGGAGTCTACCAATTTAATCCAGGAGTCTACCCATTTAATCCAGGAATCTACCTGTGACAAACGCCGCTTTCCACAGATGTTTGCCACAGACTCCTGGAGGAGTGTGGAAGCTGGCCTCATGCCCACAGACTATGGGCTAGGTCAGCGACTGTAAAGACCCATCTTTTATTCCCCTGGTTCCACTAGTTTGGCACTTTCCATTCGTGTGCATAGAACTGAACACCCTGGCAGCCGTTCGCATGGACCAAAACCGCGAATAGACTTCAGGGGGACTTAGCCACGAATGCCCTGGAACTATTTTCGGCATGAAGACTTTGCGGTCCCCGGTCGGTCCCCAGCAGCAGTTAGCCGAGATTCTACAGAACTATTTTCGGCTAGGGGACCATGCGTGCGGTCGGTCAAATAAATGACTTCCAGGAAATTCCTGAACTGATCTGGGTGATTTTGGGATTCGTTGGTCACCCAGATTGGGGCTATCAGGGGATGTAACTTTTGTGGGGGGTTTGTGTATTTAAAGGTTTTTTTTTTTGGTTTTTTTTAAACTGTGTGTTTTTAGTGCCTGGAGATAATTGAGTTTAATACAGTACTTGACTCAATTATCTCCCAGGCACAGGGGGGGATAATCTTGTTTTGTATGGATCTGAGAGCCAATATAATCGTGTGTATGTTTTTACTGTAGTCTACTCTCAAGTCCAGGGGGGAGTGCCCCTTGGATGGGGACCTGCATATAAGGCCAGTTGTGGCTGCCAATAAACTTATTCCAGCTTGTACTCCCAGAACTATGTGTCGGCTGGTTACTGGGAGGGCTAACCACTGTTCCAGTGTGGAGGATTCAATGGGGAAAGTCCTTGTAAGGACTAGGGCTCCCAGGAGTGTCGTCCAGTGATTGGGGGTGTGTAGAGCGAATTCCCCATTCGGCTCCAGGAGGGAGCGGTTCCAGGACCCAAGTCAAGCCACGGCAACTGTGGGCAGAAGTGCTGCGGTTTGTCCCATGTTCCAGTTAGGAATCGATCCTTGGCAGAGGTACCCAGCCAGTGACTCCAATGATTTTCCCCCTCACTAAGAAACTGCAATTAACCCTGTGATTGGGGTGAACAAGAGAGAGGTTTGCCATAGCATTATGTAAAAACTCTATGTTACCAGCAGTGGTGTATTTTAGATCTGTGCTGCCCTAGACATGACGGAACTCGGGCACCCCCTATTTTAAATTTGCCCTGTCCCTTCCTGTCAAGACCACACTTCTTCCTGTTTAAGACTACACACACTTTGACAGACACACACACACGGACACACCCACTCACTGACAGTCACACACACTCACTGATTTGACACAATCTGACAGACACACACACAATCACTCACTCACAGACACACACACACACTGACAGACACGCACACACTCACTGACATATACACATAATCACTCAGACACACACGCTTACTCACAGACACACACATCCACATTTACTGACAGACACACACTCACAGACACACACAATCACTCAGACACACACACACACATTCACTGACAGACCCACACTCACTCACAGACACACACATTCACTCACAGACACACACTGACAGACCCACAAATCACTCAGATATACACACATTCACTCACAGACACACACACACACACTGACAGATACACTCACTGATTTGACACAATCTGACAGACACACACACACACTGACAGATATACTCACTGACAGACACGCACACACTCACTGACACACACATAATCACTCAGACACACGCTTACTCACAGAGACACACACACCCACATTTACTGACAGACACACACTCACTCACAGACACACTAACAGACCTACACACAATCACTCAGACACACACACACACACACATTCACTGACAGACCCACACTCACTCACAGACACACACTGACAGACCCACACTCACTCACAGACACACACTGACAGACCCACACTCACTCACAGACACACACTGACAGACCCACAAATCACTCAGATATACACACATTCACTCACAGACACACACGATCACACAGACACACGATCACTCACAGACACACGATCACTCACAGACATACACACTCACTCATTCACAGACACACGCTCACTCACAGACACACTGTCACAGTCTGACAGACACACACACACACTCACTCACCTACAGACTCACTGACAGCTATACACACACACATTCACTGACAGACACACACTGACAGACAGACAGACACACACACTTTCCCTGGTAGACACACACACACACACACACACATTTCCCCTCAACACTCATAGATTACTGTTATATTTTTTAAATTTTAATTTAAATCCACCCAGCCTCCCTACCTTTGGGAGAGAGGGGTCGATATTTGTCACCTGTGGTCTAGTGGGCCTGCTTTGCTGGCTGATGGCCAGGCTCAGGCTGTTGGGCAGACAGGCAGGAAGACAGGTGGGCGTGCAGGCAGACATGCAGACGGTACGGCGTGTAAAGCAGGCAGCGATGGTGCTAAGCTCTTCCTGCTCAGCTCCCTCGCGCGTTGCAGAGTATTGCCGGGAGCCGGAGTGATGTCATATTCCAGCTCCCAGCATTACTTTGCTACTCGTGAGGAAGCTGAGCAGGAAGAGCTTAGCACCATCGCTGCCTGCTTTGCATGCCCGACTGCTGGCCTGGGACAGAACTAGCCGCCCTCCCTAGGGAGGCCCAAAGGTGGCCAGCCCGGCCAGCTCTTGGGCCCCCTAAAAACGAGATTAAGGTCTGAGAATTTAGGTGCCTAGTTTTTTGCCGTCCCTTAAAAGTGCGGCCAAAGGCAAATGCCTTATTAGCCTCACTGTAAATACAGTGCTGGTTACCAGGCTTACCAACATTCCCAATTCTGATGAGACAGTCATGATATCAGGGTCCTGTCCTGACTGTCCCCAAAAAGTGAAGTACGAACGCATCATTACAGGCCCCCCAACAACCCAGATGTTGGCAGGACTGTCTTAAATACTGTACCACTGTATCGATATATTGGGATCCATTGTTGGGGAGCATGTGTCACTTCTCACTTAGTCCCTCTTGTGTGGCCCCCTGTTCTTGTGTGTACTCCCTCCTCTGGGTCCCTGTCCCATACAGATAAATTTTTTCCACACATTTGTAGATACAGATACTCACACTCAGACACTCATACACACATACAGTCACAAACACACATATACATACAGTCACACACCTACATACAGTCACACACTCACTTACAGATATGCATACATACAAATTCACAAATACAGACATAAATACATATAGGTACAAACATACATACAGGTACACATTCACAGATACTAATACATACAGTCACACACTCACAGATACTCGTACATACAAATTCACAAATACAGACATAAATTCATACAGGTAAACACATACTTACAGGTACACACTCACAGATACTAATACAGACAGTCACACACACACATACAGATACTAATACATACAGTCACATACATACATACATACATACATACAAGTACATACTCAGATACTAATACATACAGTCACACACTCACAGAAATTCATACATACAGGCACATGCTCACAGACACTCACACATACAAGTACCCACTTACCGATATACATATATACAGGTACATTCCAACATACAAACACATACATACACACATTATATATATATATATATATATATATATATATATATATATATATATATATATATATATATATAAAAATATACACTCCAAGGCATTCATACATACAGGAATACGCTCACAGACACTTGTACATAAAGTTCACATTTATTGTATTTTTTCTCACATTGTTAAGCAGCAGTGCCACTCACTGGTGACAAATTATAACTTCGATTCAGGTTGTTTTGAAAAGTTTTATATATTTTTTAAAGTAATCAACCACATTTGGCAGGGCTTGATACACTGAGTATATTATTTAATGAAGAAAACAATTGATAAATCTCTGCTTATGGTAAGTAATGGTGGTAAGTAGTCAGGTAAAGTTTCCTGTGGGGAATCTTGTGAGGAAGCATTAACTCTGTAATTTACTGATCTAAGAGGCGGAGTTAGTGATATTAACTCAATGTCCGGAGCTGAGCGCTGAGTCTCATTTTAGGACAAAGTGTCACAGTGCGAGGAGATTCTGAGCGCCAGATTACCTCCAGCGGTTATACCCATTAATGAATGGGTTAACCACAAAGTTCTCAGCCACTCTCATTCTGATGAAGTTGTTATGGTGCACAGAAAGTCCCTTTAACATTCAAGTCGCGTACACCGATTGTCTGTGTCCGTTCTGGAGCTATATGTATCTATAATAAATGCTATAATCTTGTTAGACTGTGTTAGTAAATACTATCACTGTGTGCAGACAGCGCATGTTCTGTCTGAATGAATATAAGGGAATATAAGTATGTGTTAAGTGAAAACAGGAAGGGATAAATGTAAATTTAAGGAAACAGCAGCCATTGAAAGCTTGTGAATGGTTTCTGATTTAATACCTTGATGGCTTCGGTCTATATGTCAGTGAGCAGTAAACGTTCACTTCGTATTATGGCAGAACAAAACGATGACTGAATTGTGACGCATGGGACAGAAACTGATGGCATCACTCTGAATCATAGAGAAATTATAAACTAAGGACATTCTTCTGAAGCATTCTAGACAAACTGATTTAATACAGAATATCTCTAAATCCTTATTGGACCTTCATGACATCATTGTGAATGATATTACAGAAAATTATGATGTCATTTAGAATCTTGTAGAGACGTTGTTTACATCATTCTGAGGGTTAATACACCATTTATAATTTACAGGTTTATTCACTAGTGAGGATTGATGGAAATTCAAGGAGAAAACTGTTATAGATGAACGAGAAGCGTAGCTGACCTAGAGAAATGTTCCAATTCAGCTATTTTGGCCTTTGAAATTCACTCTGAATTGCCCACAATTTTCATGTTAGTGAATAACTCCGATGGTGTCTACTTTTTATGCTCATTATGTCCAAGTCACTCTAAAGATCTGGAACAAAACTTGTTTAAAAGATAAGAATGCGGCTCGGTTGAATGAGTCCAGGTTGGCAGTGATCAGAATCTGTCTTCTGTCACCGACCCTGTAGGTGTCTTTTAAGATGGTTTAGTCATTGATTTATGTTGCCTGTCTCTGTACTAATTGCTCTTGCTCTTTCTCAGTTGCTCCTTCTGGTTTGCCATCACAGATGCCATCCATGTGGTGGTCAGTTGCTTGGACTCTTCCCAGCTGTAGTGCGGCTTGTAGCCCATATCTCTCTGGGCCTTCTTATAGGAGAAAGTAAAGGATGTGTTGAGGAGAAGTACTAGGTGGCGGGTGAATGGTGGCACATATCTCACAAAAGGCTTCAGCAGGAAACGTAAGACCTCCAGCAGGAAAGCTGCGTAGTACAACAGATTGAAAGGAAGAGTCAGCCTTGGTTCTACTCCTAGCCCCAGCTCCTTGCCCAACTCGTGGTTGATATCGGAGTAGCTAATATGTGGAGTGTCATCTGAAATGTAATAGAAGTTCCCTGCTATCTTCTTGGCTTTGTCTGGATCCTTCATTGCCCTGGCAGCCTGTACGTGAGCCCAAGCAACATTGCCCACGTAGACAGGGTTCACCAATGCTTCCTTTCTGGATAGTCTGTGGAAGACATTACCATTACTTATTGCTTGGACAAGGTGCATCTCCAGGAACTGGGACCCCTCACCGTAGATGTACATGGGCCTTAAGGAACAAGTGATGAGTATACCACCAGATTTCAGTGCCCGACCATTGGCCTTCAGCACCCTCTCCTCTGCCAGTCTCTTACTTTGCCCATAGGGGGATCGAAGCTTGCCCACGTACACAAGGTCCTCATGGCCGTTAACAATTGGATCCCCGCTAGTGTTGGGTCCTACGACCTCCACACTGCTTGTGAAGATAAAGTAACGCACATCATTCTGCACACAGGCCTCAAGGAGATTCTCTGTTCCTTGGTCAAAAAATAAGTAACATTGTTACAAAATATATATAACACATATGTGAAATAATTTATAAAATTATAATAAATATAAAACAGTGTAAAAAAAAAAAAAGAGGACAATAATTAAGAAATGTAATCTACATGTGATATGAAGATTCAAATATGATCCATCACTTCAACAGGCAAATAAAAATATGAGAATTCTCCAAAACGCTGGGTGGGGGACATTATATTCTGACATACTAGATCAGCCGTGTTCAACCTGCTGCCCTGAACTGCTTGTAATGTGGGCCAGTTACCGTCCTGGACGGTGAGGTAGGTATGGAGCCCATAACCTACTGTGCTCTTTCTGCACAGCTCCCTCGCACGCTCAAATGAACCAGCAGCTGGGATATGACGTAATCTTGGCATCGGTATCACTACTGTACGTGCAAGGGTCCTGTGCAGGAAAACCACAGCGTTCCCATCACGGCATCATCCACTGGCCACCAGGGAGAGGATTCACTCCTGACCTCCCAGAGCAAGGTAGGGAGGCTGGGTGGACCTCTTAATTACTAAATGTGTGTGTATGAAATAGATTTTTGTGTGTGTTAGCCAGTAATTATGTGTGTATGTGGTTGTGTGTCTGTGATTGTATTTGTGTGGGTCAGTGATTCTGTTTGTGTATGTATGTGTGTGTATATATCTGATTTGTGTGTGTGTATAAGTCTGTGATTGTATGGGTGCATTTGTGGGTCTGTGATTGTGTGTGTATGTCTTTAATTATGTATATGTGTTTGTATGTCTGTGTGTATATGCCATTCACACCCATGTAAACTGCTCTCCCCTGTGCTGAGATTGGGTACAGGCACATAGTGGGTGAGATCAGAGAGAGTTTTGTATTGGGGTGTATAGGGTTAGGGCTGGGGGTACACGGCATACTTGTGTTAAAATAGCTGCTATCACTCTCAGATCAGAACTAATAGAAGGGTACAGTAAGGCTTGACCTCATAACGTTGAGTGTTTCAGAATCATTTTCTCACTAGCGGAATTTTTAGTAATAAAACCTAATAATAATAATAATAATAATAATAATAATAATAATAATAATAATATTAGTAAAATGAATTAGGAGTAGAGCGGGTATTGAGCTATTATTGGCAAATCACCTGTCTTCAAGCAGGGCTGTCCTAACTCCATTTACATAATTTGTTTCAGGGTTTTATCTGCAAATTTCATTCTGTCTTTATTAATGTTATTTATATAGCGCCAACACGTTATGTAGTGCAGTAACTAACTGTGAACAATTTAATGTGAGCAGAAAGATTCTTACAATCTGTCGTTTTCTCAAGTTATTGGAGAATTGATCACTAATTAGTAAACTTTGCAGGATATCAGTCCTATAGTATTAACTAGATTATTCACAAATCTGAGAATTGCTGGGAATTCCTAAAGACTTCAGAGCAAATTTCAAATGTAAGGCCAGAATAGTCCAACTGAGCACAGAACTGACTTGGGGAATTTTTCAAAATCAGCTATTTTAGCCTAACTGTTTAAATTCACTTTTTAATCCTGGCAGTTGTCCCTTTAGTGAATAACTCCTTATATTTATGGTATATTTTTGGCAGGCAGGAATGAGGTGGGATAAGATGATAAAAGATCCAGTTCTGTATTTCTTACCGGTGACGTTGATCGCTATCAGTGTCTCGGTGCTGATTTTTCCCATTGGGTCGATGATGGCTGCGCTATGTATCACCACGTCCACAGACTGGCAGCATTGCTGGAGAAAGTCCTCATCACATATATCTCCCTGGAGAAGCTTCACCAGCTTGCGTCCCTTGAACTCTGTGAGTGATAGACGTCTTAAACAATGCATGGTATGGCTGAGGGTAATGGGAGGTGCTGTCCAACAATATATTGTTATCTGCTAGAAAGTCTGGGATTGCACTTCACTGCAGCAGGTTTGATTTACTAAACCAGTCATAGTGCAGAATATTAGGATACACTAACCAAGCTGGAATAATGAGCAACTCCACTATTTCCCATCAGTAAGATATGCACAATTACCAGCTTCCCTTACACTTCATGTCAGTGTGTCACAGTGTAATAGCAGTGTCCCTTACAGATACATGTTAGTGTGTCACAGTGTAATAGCAGTGTCCCTTACAGATACATGTTAGTGTGTCACAGTGTAATAGCAGTGTCCCTTACAGATACATGTTAGTGTGTCACACAGTGTAAT